GAGATTTCACCAAAAGTTAAAGGAGTTCAAAGCCACACCACCACCCCTCCCCTTTTGCAGCAAAAGCAATGTTCCACAGCTTCATTGCCATGTACAGCCTTTCCCTTGCATTCATCAACAAGGACAGCCCAGCCCAAACCCACTGTGACCAGGTAGCATGATTTGTCACTTCCAAGAATCACTACCTGGACGCAAAAGACAGGAAAGTCTGGATCAAGTGCCAAAATTAGTAAGTGCCCAAAACAGTCCTAACAATGCTTCAACTAAAGCACAGGGCTGCAGAAGGGAGAGGGGACTGAAGTATTCTGCTGTTGCAAAACCGAGTACAAAACGAAACAAAAAAAAAAAAGGTACCCTGCTCCACTCTTGAGCAACTGCTCCAAAGACAGCACAAGGACAACCCACATCATCTCACCTAGGCAAAAGGTGGTGTCTATTGCCCACCACTGGCAGCTACATTCTATTCACTTCCCATTGCAGCTGATACGAGGTCACTGTTCCTATAGACATGTGGTACAAATTGAGGCAATCACTGAAGCTCAGGAATTAACAGCTTTGAAAACCAAAGAATGAGAGCAGACACCCCACGTGACTCACAGCATGTTCTTACACTTTACCCTACCTTTCCTTACCTTCCTTTGGCCTGCATCAGAATCAGACCCAACCTCTGTGGAAAAGACCAATTATGCACACTCTGTAATCATTAACCAGTGATTTTTCAGTAATCCATCCCTCACCTGAGATAAGCCAGCCAAAACTAACAAGGGATCCAGCTTTTAAGCAGGAGCTCTGCACCTTCACTCAAGCTATGAGTGCAGCTTCCTAAATCAGAAATATCAGCATTTATTTGGTTTGCAGAATAAGCAGATATGAAGATTGTACATTATTTGGAGCTGCACTTATGTAACACGGACTAAGCCACAGCAAGCTAAGAGAAAAACAGAGGAAGGTGCTAAGCAAAGAAATATCAGACTTGCTGGTAAATTCTGAGGAGCTGCTAACTGGAGGAAATGAAACCTGCTCAACTGCCACCAATTCCCTCCAACAGAGGTAACCAGAGACTCAGTTTATTTCCCTACCTCCACTGCTTATTAGTTCATAACTGGAGGCAATAAAGATGCTTTATCAAGAAGCCTACCTCAACTAGCTGAGACACCACAGTTATGTCAGCAGGCTCTGCACGTAGCTATTATGCCCCTACTCTCCCACCAACATCCCACAGTCACAGAAACATATAGAATCACAGAAAGGCCGGGGCTGAAAAGGACCACAGTGATCATCCAGTTTCAACCCCCCTGTTATGTGCTGCCCAGAGCCACATCCAACCTGGCTTTGCATGCCTCCAGGGATGGGGCATCCACAACCTCCTTGGGCAACCTGTTCCAGTGTGTCACCACCCTCTGAGCCACAGCTTCCAAGTGTCAGGCCGCACCATAAGATCTCCAGAGGCAGCAATCACAGGATTTATGTGCCTGTCTGCTTCCAAATTAAGCACCTTCACTCTATCAGTGTAACTGCTTGCTCTCCCAGCTTCTGAGGAGCATGGGCGACTCCTGTCATCCTGTTACACAGGAAAAACAATACACAGAAACAACATGGCATTACTGACCCTAGCTAGAAGTGCCCAGAGCCCACACACACAGCCCTCCCCACTTAGAATTATCATGACTTTCATTGCTTTGGGAATTTAAAAAAAACACCACCAAGCTGAACTCATTACCTTCAGCTTGCTCAATCTGGGTGTAAGGAATTAGTGATGAGTGAGCAGGAACTCAACAAAACCACCTTAAGCACGAGTCTTATTTTTCCTTCCCAAACACAGCACACATGACCACATATAAACAAGGATGAGCCAGGCAGGAAGGCAAGATTGCCTTGTGTACACAGGAGGCAGCAAGGAGTGGATGTCGGCGTCAGAACAGGCCGGAAGAGACCTCTAGGATCACTGAGCCCAACCAGCAGCCCGTGCCTGCCGTGCCCACGTCCCTCAGTGCCACATCCACACGGCTACTGAACACCTCCAGGGACGGTGATCCCACCACCCCTCCGGGCAGCCTGTGCCACTGCAGCACCACTCCTCCCGCGAAGAAACGTTTCCTAACATCCAACCCGATTTACCTTGAAGAAGCCTCTTTAAAAGGTTTAAACTTGATATATCAAGTTGGCAGGAAGAATCCAAGACCACACAGAAAACCCTCCTTCTCCACGAGGATCTCCCACAGATACGCCTCTCCAGACAGCTGAAAACGCTGCCGTTCGATTTCACTTCGTTAGAGAATGCCCCGGCTCCCTCCCAAGGGCCCGGCCCGCGCCCCCCGCCCCGCCCCAACGCGGCAGACAAAGGAGCGGCGCGGCGAGGGCTGGAGGACGGCGCCGGCGGGCGGACTGAGCGCGGGCCGTGCCGACGGCAGAGGGGAGGCATCGCGGCACGGCAGCGGGCGCGGCGCACCCGGAAGAGCTGCAGCGAGGGATTAAGGGAAAAAAAGTAAAAGCAAGCAAGCAAACAAACGACGGACCCGCTGAGGTGGGACACAACGGATAGAAGGGAGCGCCGCGGGGAGATAGCGGCGTTCAATATAGAATAGAAGCCACTTTAAACCCGTTCCCGCCCTAGCGCAACTCGCAGGAAGGCAGCTCAGCCCTACTTACCGGCAACAGCGCGGCTCTCCCTACGGTTCGCGCCCGCCTCTATTTCAAGGCCCCGGCTCCGCCCTCCGCACCGCGCGGGTGCGGGGTGGGGCTTGGGCTTCCCCTGCCGATGGAGGAAACGGAGAGGGGGAGCGGCGGCGTGCGCGCCACGCGGGGGGGGGGAAGGCAGCGGTGCGGTGCTCGGGTGGAGAGCCGCCCCGCGGGGCTGTGCGGGGTTGCAGCCGGCAGCTTCCGCTCCTTCCTCCCGTCACGTGTCCGCTCGTGTCCGTGTACGGCACATCCAGCGTTACAGCTTGTGGAGTTTAATATCGTGTCGCTGTTGAAAGCGAAGCTTTCCATCCAGCGGTGTCAGTAACACGAAGCTGGAGCCTTCCTCTCTACTGCCAGTCATAGAATCATAGAATGGCCTGCGTTGCAGAGGACTACAACGATCATCCAATTTCAACCCCCCTGCTGGGTGCAGGGTTGCCAACCAGAGCAGCCCAGAGCCACATCCAGCCTGGCTTGAATGCCTCCAGGGATGGGGCATCCACAACGTCCTTGGGCAACCTGTTCCAGTTCCGGGCAGATCCTGACATAGTTCTCCCCATGCTCCTCTTGGAGCCCACAGTGTGTTTTACCAGTTTTACTACATCAGCTGCCAATACTTTCCTTACCCTTTGTAACCCCAGGGGCTGGAAGGGGCCCGGCTCCCTGCCCTGTGCTGGCCTGGCTCTGAGCAAGGTGGGCAGCGTGGGGTGTGATGCAGTTTGGAGGGAATGAAAGGCTGAGTGTGGCAGGGTCGGAAGTTCCTGGGGGGATACAGCAGCATTGGAAACTGAAAGCAACAGCTGTGCCGCACCAGACTCTGATGATAGGATTTGCTTTGTTAGGGGGCCTTTTCTGGTGTTATTTCCTACCACACCTGGGTAATCTGCACAGGAAGTGTGGCTGCTCTCTCAGGGTCTTCAGGGTCAGTGTAGCTTTTTACTGAGGCAAGCAATACAGGAATGCTCTCTCTGTGGGACTCACCGTTCCATTCATTGCTTTTAAAGGGGAAGAATCTGTGGGTATCTAATTGATATCAGACACCCTGCAAGGGTGCTTGATGTGCACAGACTGAGAGGAATCCAGAGTCTACAGGGTAATTAAAAAGGCAGTTGAAGTGTCTCAAGGCTAACTTCCTTAAATATGATGGGGACTCCCATGTGTCCTGGGGTCCAGTTGTCACTTGCTATATAGCCACTCTTTTGGCACCGAGACTAGCAGTAATTACGATCTTCTGACACCAGTGATCCCTTTCAGGTAGCTGCATTATTTTTGAAAGCAAGAGATAAAAAAAAATGACATGAGAACTGTCAGGTTTGGTGTGTCCCCAGAGAACCAAGCTGCTGGAATGAAGCGCAGTATCTCACTCCTGCCACCCTTCCGCACAACCTGACACCCAGCCAAAGAGGAAAGCCCAAGGCCCAGCATCCCTTTCTGTGGCCATAGTAGGTCTGCTTTAAAACAACCGCTTTACAAACACCAGAGTTTTTCCTTTGTTTTGATGATGGTTGAGCTGGCAGGCAAGTAAGATTCATCATTACGGTTTTCCCCAGCTGGGATTTCCCTCAACATCCTGTGTGTTCTCTGCCTCTCGAACAAATGGCACATCGAGTCTTATGATGTGCTTCACATACTTGATGACAGCAGTGCTGCTGACTGGATACAATTCCTCTGGGCTTCAAGTTCCTGAAGTTTACAGGACACAACACCAAGCACTTGAGCTGAACATTTGTCCTTTTCCAACAGGAGATGCTCAAATGTGACAGCTTTTTCTTGACACGTAAGTTGGTGAGGTTTAACGTCTGAATCCTTCCAGTCTGCTGACAGACACTGCTCTGGAGCTGCAGATAATATATCTTAGCTAACCTTCCTAAGCTGCCACACTGCAGATGAAATGCAGGCGTGCAGTAGCAGAGGCTTAAAACAATGTGGAAAGTCAATGGAGAGGTGCTGATGTCAGTTCTTGTTGTACTAAGCCCAACTGTGCCAGGGTTCATGCAAGTACTACATATGCTAAGGAAGTGAACTACAACTACAGAAACCAAATTCTAGTTCTTACCATCACCTTCACCCTGTTTGGTGTTTATTGTCACAGAAGAAGCAACGTAAAATTGGAGAGAGGTGTATTATATATTGGGGCTGTATTAAGATCGATTTCGTTTTTATTTCAGACAATTCAGATGGACTCAAACTGTTCCAAGAATAACAAAAAAAAAGCTGAAGTGGAGCCCTGGAACACTTGGCCTTTTATCTCAAGATCACCTTCCTTCAGCTCTTGGCTTCCTCATCAGCTGTGGGAGTGGATGCATGGAAACAAACGGTAATTCCACGAACAAAAAGAAAAAATAATTAATGACTTTATTTTTTTTCTTTTTTTTTTTCTTTTAGTTCAGTTGGCCATCTGAGGTGCTAAAATCTCAACACCAATGAAGCAAGTGTGCATAAAAACAAATGATAAAACAATCAAACAGAAAAGAGGCTGGAACAGTTTTGGTGTTTTCTGTTGTTGTTTAACAAGTTGGGTATATACGCTTTTCTGTTAACACTCCATACATGCCAACCATAAAAGCCTTGAACAATCTGAGTATCAGAGATCACTCTCATTCAAAGGGGAAGATGCCAAGGCATATCCCTTCACCTGGAACAGACTTCACACACACGCACGCACGCACACGCAGATACAGAGAATATTTAAATTACTGCAATGCCATCAGAACTTGGCATCCTCCACACCTACTTTCAATGACATCCTCATCTGCCTGCTACCCTGTCTATAGCAGTATTGTGAGCAATCCAAAAGCGGAGGCATTTGGAAAGCTTCTAATCTCTGTTACTTTGCAACAGTCAAGAGCAGGCGATCTCTCTCCGCCAACTATGTACAAGCTGGTTATTAGTATGCTTTAGAGTTCTCTTTATTGCAGACAGTGATGATTTAAATTCCCATACAGCCATGCTGTGGCTTTTCAGTTTGTACTCAGGAGATTTTATAATGCAACACCTTTCTAGTCCGCTGGCGCTTGGTGTAAACGTTTAATTGAAAACTCATTTTAAAAGAATGTTAACCAAACAAGGTGTAGCTGTGAAAATTTTAGGAACAGCTGCTAAGAAAACAGAAATGCTGGCTGCTCTAGATCATGCAGTCTAGACCACTTATAATACTTCATAATGTTCAGGATTAGGATGTATAAAAATATTAAAAACCACCAGAGTGCACACAAATGTGGTGACTAGCTCTATGCAAGCACCGTGTTCTAACAGAGGCCTAGGCATTGCACAAACTCAGGTTTTTGACCGCAGGGGTAACCCATGGATCCACTGGTGTCTTTACATATAAACAAATATTTACATAAAATGCAGAGACAGAGAGTAGCACAGACTTTTAAAACTTGTAGTTTGCTTGAAAATATGTTCAGCGACGCAGTTTGTATCATGCCCTAGCGAGACCATGGGGTTTTGGTTAGCTGAAAAAGAAAAAAAAAAGGAGCATGTCTGGATGTTGGAGCTGAAAGATGCTCTTGTCATCTCCCCATGCATAGTTCTCTGAAGCTCAGGATCTTACAGCCATTTGTGAGCTTAAATGAAAAGACGGAAAAAGGAACAGAACAGTTGAAAAACAAAAAAAAAGTATTTGTACTGTGAAAACAGCAGATCGGGTGTTTTGGCAGTCTTCATTCCCCCATCCCTACTTGCTTCCTGGGTGTTTCCAGGAGGTGATATCACGTCCTTTCCCCTTAGGGGACTGAAGCGCTTGCCACATCCTCAGTGTGCCCATTTGGAAACAAAGGTGGGTTAGGTTCTGAGCTCTGTGCTCCTCCCACGACACAGAGGAAGGAGCCAGCCCCTGGTACGGGGACTGTCACATAGGGGCATACAAGCAGATACCTTTGCATGCCTAATTCTCAGAAGCTGAGGGCCTTCTCACTTCCTTCATGTGCTTGACGGACACACGTCATTGAATACACATGGCTGAGACATGTGCTGCTTTGCACCTGGATAGCACAAGGAGCTAGAACATCCTACTTGGATTCTGATACAAATAAGGGATCTTGTGGTCACAAGAGCCTTCTTTAGCTTTAAAAATACAAAGTTTGAATTAAAAATATTCAGACAGTAAAAAAACCCAGTATCTGGTATGTAAGTTATATTCTTAAAGTGCAACTGAACAGCAAATACAAGTTGTGCCTTTTAAAACCATTTGATATAAAAAGGCCTTTTAAGGTTTCCTTTCATGTACTTTCAATTGACTGTGTGTGCGATGTTAGGTCTCCACTTTCATTCTGAGTGCTGGAGGACTTCAGCACAACTCAGAGAGTTCAGTTGTAGGATATGCATTTTTCCCCTGCAGTAGGGCATTACACCCTCAAGTGATAGACTCAGGCAGTGAAAAAATCTGGCCCACGTCCCCCAGCATGAAAAGGGGTAGGTACTAACCTGGTACGTCTTCTTTATACAGCTCACATTCAGTGATCTTTTGTTAAAAGTTCAATATGGTCCATACGCTACAGAAGGGACTGAGGCTGATTCTCTGCGCAGGACATTTTACTGGAAATTACTGAGGTTCTCTCTTTCTCCTCTCCTCTGCAGGTTCCACTGGCCCCTCATGCAGACTATGTAACCTATTACCACCACCAGTTTGACTCCACAGCTGGCCTCTGCCCTGGCAAATAGGGAGTACTCTGCTAACCGAATCCTCTTAGCAGGCCAACACTCCTCAAGAATTTTGTCCAGTGAGGTTGGTATAGGGGTATGACTTTCTAACATGCATAGTTACTAAGTAGCACTGAAGCTGCCTACCTGCTTTGTTTCACAGCATGTGTTTAATTTGCAATGCCTTAAATGACAATGGTAAGGAGGGGAAAAGAGGAAACTCCTGAAGTATAAAAAACAAGTTTCCGTAGTTAGCAATCAGCCCTGCTCACAGACCTTGGACACCATCCTAAGCATTCTTCCTCAGCATATGTTCATCCATCAGAGGTGACCTCAGGTTATAGACAGCTGGCCTCTTTGAAGGAGACAGAGAGTCAGCAGCAGTAAACCATGTTAACATTTACCCTGGGGCAAAGAATTAAAGGATGTTCAGCCCTGCTTGGGCATCTTGCACCAACAGTGTATGTTCAAGCTGAAAGAGCCACCATGCTGTATGAATATGCTTGGGAATGGAACACCTTTCCAAAGACACTGGAGAGCAGGCTTAGTATTTCCTTAACGTGAAAAGAAAATAGGCAACAACTCAAGGGGAAAAACAAAAACGAATTAAAAACAACTTCTTAACACATTACGTTAAGGATGGGACACAGACCCAACACACAGTGCTATTGCAGCTCTGTGCAACAAGTTAAGGATGTAGCATGCTCCTGAATCTGTCAAACAGTGGATGGTGCTGAATTGCTAAGTGCATGACCTGCGCATTACTTAACACACAATTATAATGAGTACCCTCTTAGCTTAAAAGCAGCAGCTTCACCAGCTGAGCCAAAAGGAGCTTCTTCCAACAGGAAGTAGCAGGAAATGTGCTGTTTTTGTTTTCATGAAAGTCCCTCTAGCTGTATCTCAGGAGTATGAAGGTCCCTCTTTCAGTGAGAAAGGGACATATGGGATATTTCTGCCTTACATTTTTGGCTTTCTCATTATAAAAATTTTAAATTTAAATAAATTATAGGTTTATTAGTCCAACAGAGGGATTTTTGGGATGCAGAAGAAAAGTATGCTAGGAACACAAAATAGATTCTTACAACTCCACAAGTGTGCAGGATTTTATCATAAAGGAAATCTTGCTAGGGCAGGATGCGTCCATGGGGTCCATAAAGACTGCCCTTGCTCTGAAAGAGGGACCAATCTGCAGTAGTGTCTTCCTCTAATAGAGTTAAAACACTCCCCCAGTCCCCCTCAAATATGTGTAACATTATAAAACACTAATAAATAGCCACAGGTAACAACGTCCAGTAATTTAGAAGTGGAAGTTGTAGGATGCAGCAGGCACACACACCTATCATTCATCCATATTTTTTTTTTTCCTAAAAGATACAAAAATGAATTTTCTTTCAAGTATTAAAAAAATAAGTTAATCGACATAAAAGGGTCAAAGTGACTGAGGGCCCAGGCAGGTCTTAAGCTTCGTTTCCAATGTGCAAAAACAAAATATAGAGGAAAAAATAAAAACACTGAAAAGTCTTAATGGTGGTTTCAGTCACTTATGGGCTTCTCCCTTTTAGGAGCTGAACAGCCAGGGAATGCTGCTTGGTAACACCCCTGCCCCAGCGCACACTCAACACTGTCCCACAGTCAGTTTTTCCAGTGTCAAAACAGTCGCAATAAAAACAGAACGAAGAAGCCCATCAGCCTCTGAGCTGTGGCCAAGAAGATAAAGGCCAGCAGCAGCTGTCTCTCCAGTGTGTAGCAAAGCAGAAGGGCATCTTCCGTCTCTTCTTCTCCCCTTTTTCCCCAACAATAAAGCCTTAGGAGACTGTGATAGGGAGTGAGTCTTCTGATGCCCAAATCTCTTTACAAACCGTGAGGCAGAGAGTTCCATCACGCATAACTAGTAGTGTCTTCTCTGTCTCATTTCTTCATATCCATGCATAATGACCAACTGTAAGTTTCTTTGGTGGGGAGGAAGACTAAAACAAAGAAGGTGCTGCCCTGGGCTTCTGGAGCTCTCCTGGATAGCTGATTCCATCAAACAGGTTGCTACAGGCTGCTGTGGTTTTCCAAAGAGGGTTGTTACTTCCCTCCCTCTTATTAGGACTGTTGTAGTAAAAATGGGAAAGGAATGGACTGCCATAAATCCAGATTAGTTAAGGTACTTCTTCCCTTAACCTCCTTCCCCACACATGGATTATTCCTCTCCCTGCTACCAAACAAAAAATAAAATGCAGTCAATTGTACTGAACTTCAAGGAGACTCCACAGGCTCCACTCATTATCTTCAACATGGCTTGCAGACATGTAAAACTTAAGCTTCTGGAGCCAACACACTTATCAAAAGGCTTCTGAGTGCTTCAAACCAAATCGCTGCATGCTGTCGGGCCCTTCGGAGATTTCCCCTTCAACATCTTCCTATCCATGTAATTCTGGCGAACTCAGGGTAAGCCAACTGGAGAACACAAACCAGCAGAGGTAAATGTATTGAGCTCAGGACCAGTTCAAGCTAAATCCTTTGGAAAGCATGACTGCCTCCAGGTCCTTGTCTTCCTCTTTTTCTCGAAGCCGTTGCTCCTCAAGGAGAGCCACGAGAGAATCTCTCTGCTCTACTACTTCTAGCATCTCATTCAGGATCCTCTTCTCCTCTGAGAGCTCCTCATCTGTCTTTAGATGATCTACAGAGATGTCAAAAACTGTTAGCACCCTCAAGACTAGAAATATGCACATACAAACTACGAGGTAATATTTATTGCTCTCACCTTCCACTGCCATCCTCTCCCGGAGTTCCTGTTGTAATCGACTCTGCCTGTCTTCCAGTTCTAGCTCCCGTGCGCTGGAAGGAAAACACACCAGGAGTTCAAGTTCTGGATGTAATCAAATACTCTGTACAATTGCTCAATATCCCTTCTCAATTTCTTCCCCCCCCTCTAGATATCTGCTATGCATTTTATCAATCTATTTTAGAACAACTTTAGAGATAACTGATGTATAGAACTAGATTTTTAAAGATTAAATCTAAAACAGTGTGAAACACTGGGAACAAGCAAAGCTGCAATCACTGTAAAATCATACCTTACCTCAACGTTATCTGCTATTTGCCACTCTAAGAACAAATTACTTAACAACTCAGGTCATGCCAGGGCATTGCCATTTCAGATTCCAATGCAGACAACATCTTAGGGCTTTTCTGACAAAGGCACCAAAAGACACCAAGCTTACACACTGCTCAGGTCAGCTGTTGTACTCAGAAACTAATTCCTGTGAATTTGCACCACGGGGACTAAGAAAGCTCACAGATTTTTTACAGGAAAAAAATCTGTCACGTGAGCCCAAACGAGGAGCACTGAAGTCCCACTGCAGGCAGAGAAGAGGGGCCATATGACAAAGGTAACAGAATGAAACAGTTTGGCTACACTTAGAAGCCATTCATCATTTCTTCGTCACTCAGTAATGTGCTGTGTTTTATCCAAGAACAGCTTGGAAAGGATGCAGAACTGAACAAATATCCTTACTGCACACGTACAAATAGTTCTTGTACTCTTCTGAAAGTTTGATCCCTATTTCAGCCAAGAATCAAACTGTATGACTGCTGATCTTCAGCACTGTAGGGAAAATGGCACTGGCAGATCTTCCACCGCTGTTTATAAAATAATCCCTCTTTTGAAGTTTGCACATTGACTTACAAGATCATCAGTTCAGACTCATAGCGAACCAAGGCATTCTTCTCTTGCACCAGCTTGAACCATTCTTGCATCAGCTTGGGATCATCCTTCTTTCCCATGCCTGCAAAGAAGAAACTTGGTAAGACTGTGTGGCAAAATGCCACACAATCCTTACAAGCCCAAATGGCAAAAACAACAATGGGGCAAAATGTGCAAAGAAAGCCGAGCAAGATGCTGCCAGAGCACTCCCAAGCCGGGTCCATTCAGTTTGCCTAGAGCACACAAAAGAGTGGAAGTCATCTCCAAAAGGATTCTCTTGTCTTTGGAGTCTGATTTTTATTATTATTTTTTGCTTTCTGATTTTCTTGTGATTGCTTGTTTCTTCCTCACATTTACTGCAGAAAGCCCACACTTCTGTATTTCACTTTTCCTTTCATTAGAAGAGCTTTATAGTTCCTAATGCCAGCTACTTAAGTGTGTGCTCATCAGAAATAGATTCAATTGCCACTCTACGTCTTATTTTCTTCAACTGCACATCCTCAATCATTTATTTTACTGACAGAAAGTAACATCTCATCTTTTTTCAATAGCTAAATGAGTGTTTTTGACTGCTGCTCCTAGCCACATGCATCTATCCACCCTGACGATCCCCTGTGTGCAGTAAGCACAGAAACTACTTCTGCTGTATCGCACATCAGCACCAGAAGGAAAGAGAGAACCCCCAGACACATTTGCTAATGTGAAAATGGAAGCAGAAAAATCTTGGGCCACGGTATTTCTTGGTTGGTATTTATTTTTTAAAACCAATTCATAAATTGATGCAGGAGAACACTGATCAATCTCACATCTGTCAGAAGTTACCTAGAATAAACTGCAGAATTCTGTTCCCAAAGCCTTTTGTAGATTTTTACCAAACACAAGAGCTTACCAGGAAAGCTCCTCCTGGCAGTCCCTTGTTTTGGGCCAGTGAATTCACATTGAATAATCTGCAGATGAGTGCCTTGACTCTTACCCAACACCATCAAGAACCTTGGCAACTCACCTACCTGCACAGAAATGGAGGCAAGAGTAAGGTCTCAAAGTGAGCCCTACAGCACTTCCTGAGCCCTACAGCACTTCCTGACATGTATGGTTGGCATTCCAAAGTAACTAACAGCCCTACGTTTGTTATCAAGGCTACATACTATCTACACCAAGAGCAAAACCTATTAACTAGTCATTTTGATTCCAAAAATAATCATGCAGCAAGTTTGCTATTTAAACTCTAGGAAAGACTACACGAATATCACGGTAGTGACTATTAATGGTCAGGTCTGTGACCTGACTTCAACCTTCGGATCTCAGAGAATTGCTGTGCTGGAGAGAAGTGAAAACAGGCCTACAATTCCATTGAACTGCAACTTAGTCTGAGAACATCTGCCTTTGAAAAACTGACAGAGCAAACCCTTGGGAAATACCAGACCCAGCTGCACAACCCTAACAGCCTCCAGTTCTCTGGGCTTGGTATCAGTGTGTTGCTCATTTCCAAGCATTCCTTTCTGAGCATCTCTGCACAGTATGCCCATATGGCGGCAGGAGAGGGAGACGGAACATGCAGATGTCCAGTGCAGTGGCGCATGAAAGCACTGGGAAGTCTCCCTGCCCCTTCCAATGTCAGGATGTACAGAAAACAAATGCCTCTAAGAAAAAGCCAAAAACACAGCACTACTGACCTATGGAATATATTAAGTATTTTTAAACAGCCAATGAGAAGAGGAAGAATGGTAGGATTGGAGAGAGAGCACTGACAACTGATAAGTGGGAGCACCATGGAAAGCAAAGTAAGTGGTTAGCAAAATTACACCATGAACACACAAACAGCACCCTTCCCCCATGCCTTGGCAATGGAAACTCTATGGCAAACTCCATTTGAGACAGTTAAAGAACTCACTCAGCAAGACAGATGAGGGAAAACTAGTCTAACTTAAGGTTTGCTTAATTTTAAACTTCACGGATGTTTCGCAAACCAGTCCTTTAAAAAGACACAGTATTCCTTTAATCCATGTAAATTAATTAAAAGGCAATTTAAGGAAGCAAATTTTCTTCCCTTACCCCACCTTCCAAACACCTCTCAGGAGGAATGGAGAAATCAAAGCCACCAAATGCAAACAGAAACTTTTGAGTGTGATGTTACTGCTCCCACCACCGCTCCACCATGCCCGCCACAGCACAGCTGGGTCTAACAAAAGGGATACTGTACCTTTAGTAACTTGTCATAGGCCCACAAAGCTGATTACCAGGTTGCTACTGAGAAGGATGGTTTGGGGAAACAATAAGAAAAGGCTGGGGACCCTGTGGTCACTAGCTGACTAGTGCTGCTGTGACAACCCAGCTGTGGTCTAGGAGAACAGGGAGCATGTGAGGTTACGTTACCTTCGTGGGCACAGCAAGGGCAGAAGGAGAGAGGTCTACGACGTGGTGTCCCGCCATTGGGCTCAACTTCAATAGGACCAAACGAGGAAGAGGAAGAGGCAGGAGAGGAAAAGGAAGTTGGAAGTGGAACGGAAGAGAGGAAAGGGATGAAATAAAAGACAAGCAAAGGACAAAAAGCATAAGAGTGAGAAAGAAAGGAAACACAAGAAGAAAAGAAAAAATACAAGAAATGGAGAAACAGAAACAAGGGAACAGTCTACAGATGAATAATGTCTCTAGCAAGCACAGATAACAGATAAGAGGTAGGCCGAGTATCAGTGAATCTTACTGAGCTATACAATTCCTAGACAAGAGGTTATTGCTGACTTTTTCCTAACATAAATTTCCAATCACATGGTCTTTAACTGAAAAGTTTGTGAACAAGATGTCAGGAGGAGCAGAGATAAATATTTAACTCCTGCTGATAAATCTCAAATTTCAAGCAGGGTTACAAAAAGTCTCGCCTGCATGCATAAGACTCCAGCTGTAAACAGCCAGCCCACCTTATGGCTTTATCAGACCATGCTCTTATCACCGTGGCAGCATCCACTGATGGAAAAAGTATCCTTTTAAATGGAAAATAATTCCTTCAGGTAGGGAACATCACAGGAAGAATCTGATTCACGTGGAACCCATCTGCCAGGATCTGCCATGTCAAGCATGGTGAGTACATGTACTCGGTTGGGTGCTTAGAGGAGAATCAGCTTTTTGTGGATAAAAGAATGATTCATGTCAGTTTCTGTGGTGGGAGTGATCACCTAAGGGCATTGCATAGATAAAATGGTGAATTTAAAGCTGTCCCTTGACATTCTCATTTCACAAAGCTTACAAGTCCTGTTAACATCAGTGACTTACTGAATATTTTCCATCGTCACAGTCACTCAATGAAGGACAAACATTTCTCATCTCTACAATGGTTCAGCTGCTTCAACACTTACAATCTCCTCTTCAGCTGTACTTAACGTTGCAGAGATAAATAGTAGAAAATAACTGGTACCACTTTAGTAGTTACAGGACAACAAATGCACTAAGGAGGTGATGAGCCTGAAATATCAAAGCCAGCAAACTAAAACACTTCTCAATGAAGAACCTCATTTACAAATGGGAGGCATTCCTACTTGGGAAAAGGAAGCTCCAGAACAATAATATGGTAAGAGTAACTTGTAAAGTGGAGAAGCCAGCAGTTTGATACATACGGTTTGGAGACAGCTTTACATAACTTTAGACTAGCAGCAATCTGGGAGAGCTTTAGAAGGGACCATCACAGAACTAGAACAGCACATGGAGGACGCACTGGAGTGAGAGGAAGAGCACATCAGCTTCAAAGCCTGTGTCTGAGCAGCAAGGCTTTCTCAGACAGGAAGAAACCTCTGCACTGGGGGCAGGAAGGGGCAACACTAGGAGAGGTTCCACAGTTGGCCACATGACAGTTACAGATAAAGCACCATACCAACATAAGTTGACAGTACCAGAACTTTAATTCTAGTTATTCGGTCTTCCAGCTTCTTCACTTAAAATGAAAAATGCTAGGGCTGCTTTTCCTGTGATTTGCATTTCACAGATTTAGGTTAAAAAAGCAAAAACAAGTCCCCAAAACAATGAAACATACTGGCTGTCCTCTGTGAAGAAGCTTCCATAGAAAGTAGAGCATGTAGTGCGTTATGCCCATTACATTTTTTGTTTCACATCCTACCTTCATCCTACCAACATCACTCTTTCACCATATAAGCTCTTATACTCTAGTTGATGGCCTACCAGTTCTTTTTGGGATCAGGAAATGGATATTTAACTATGTGGAAGAATCCACTTCAATTTCTCAGGGTTTGAGATTTCATTCAGAATTTTAGGGGGTAGGGTGATATTGCTGACTTATGCACAGTTTCTGAATTTCTAACTATGGAGTTACAGATTTGGTGAGGAATTCTGAATTTGCCATATTTGATCTTAAAATAAATACCTGGTGTTGAAAATGCCATTCAGCTCATTGCAACAATGGCCACAAACTATTAACTTTTGTCATCAGTAAGCAAAGTGTCACATCCTAGGAAGAGATACCACCTTTGGTCTGTAATGAAAAGCCATAGGTCTTACACAGCAGAAGACAATAGTGCAGACACCTCTCCACATCATGTTTTCTTCCTTTGGCCTTAGTTGTCCTATTTTTTAACAGAAATATAATCCTCTCCACTCCTGTCTAAGAATAATGTGTTCTTGAATAGAGTTACAAAGTCTATACTGTCTATACTCTTGCTGCTGGAAACATTAATATTGCTCTTCATTAAGGTAATGAATATAACCTGCACTATTAAGATATTTTCCAATTATTCCCGTTGCAAATTATAGTTGCATTAGTGAACACAGGTGACACAATTGTTACAGTTGCTCTGGAAACAACTTCCATCAATCTATGATGATTAACAAGCCATGATGGTTAACAAGTCTTTGAAGTGCTCCCTATTTCCTGGAGGTCCTAAACAGCAAGGGCAGAATGAAGTGCAGCCTGAAACTTACCTCTTCTTGTTCTCTAAAGCTGTGAAAACTGCACCAATTATTAAGCCCTAGAATGTGGTATAATCCAAACTCACAAGTGTTGCAAAACATATAACGTAGTGGAATTTTAAGCGTACTTTTACAATTGTCTCTAAGGTGACAATTATGAAAACTGCCTCC